ATCTGGCAAACGCTCATACGAAACAAAGGAAACAAAGAAAAAAAAACATCAGGAACCAAGAAAGGCAAAGACGTAGGCGAGCTGGTGAATGATATCCATCTTTCCTTTTGATAAAGACTTCTTTGACAGATTGAGACATCTTTGATAAAGACTTCGTTGATAGACACATCTTTGATAGAGACTTCGGTGATAGAAACTTCTTTGACAGATAGAGACATCTTTTGATAGAGACCTCGTTGTTCTCGCCGTTTTTTTTTTTTATTTTCCTACGTCTCAGGGTTACTATGGATTTCAGGACCCAAAGAAACATAAAGCGAAAGATAAACACAGTTGGACATTTTGGTTTGATCAGTATATATATATATATATGTGTGTAGAGGGTGCTTCTTACCTTAAAAAATTTGTTTAAAAAAGTGGTGAAAGTTACACTTACGTGGTTTGTGCGGGTGAGTTAAACGGCCAGGGACACATTGTAGAGGGGGCTAATGGCAACGATCAGTCGGTTAATAATTAAAATTTGTTTATTAACTTTTTAATCACTGTAAATAAACATAAGGTTCCAACTAGGAACTTGCTAAACCTCATCAAAAACCACTAAATCAACTTTTTTGAGAAGGCTACAACGCAGGGGCAGTATATTACAGAGTTCCGTAAAAACGCTCAATTTGGACGCGTTTCTAGGTTTCGATTTTTATCGGAGCGCATCTCTGCGCCCTCGGTCCTCCTCCCCAGTGGCTGAGACGCCCAACACTAAAGCGCGAGACACATGTGCGAAAAAACCATCCGATCCGACGTCCGATCCGGCAATGCGACTGCCTGATCCGAAAAATTTGGTCGCATCAGACGTCGGATCGGCGATCCGACGTACGTCCAACGCGCCAGATACTTTCGCACGGCGGACGGATTGTCGGATGCGTCCAGCCAATGACAGCACAGCTAGCGCGAACGTCATGATGACGCACTGAGTCTGGCGGGACGAACGAAAACACGGGACTGCCCTGGGCGACGGGAAGCCGGACACGTGAATTCCGCTGACCCATTCGACTTCGAGAAAAATGGCCCCAGGAAAGAATTCACGCGCTAGCGAAAACGAGCTGCTAATTTCGCTCGTGCGAGCTCAACCTTCAATCTGGGATCAAAGGTCTCCCTCATATAGGAACGCGGACCTCCGCTGGAGCGCTTGGATCTCCGTGGCCAAAGGCATGGGCAAGAAGGGAACTGATGGTACGTACACGGCCAATAATATACGTCTCGCCGGCGCTCGCGGTTTGGTTTCCTTTCCTCACCTAGATACAGGCTGTGATTACCACCAGAAGTGTCCATCCATGTAGCCAAAGTCGGTGATCGATATCTTAGCAGTGTCAGCGGTGTCAGTCCAATAAAAAAGAACGCCGATGTCGTCTTCGCACGAGCCGCGTTGGATAGGACCGGTGGCAGTCGGTCTATCGAACGACGTTTCATCGACAGTTGGTTGCGTCGACACTGCGCTGCTTGATTGACAAATCTTTTCGTCGAAACGATCGCGCATTTGTTTCATTGACAGCTTCGTTTTTGTTTGTTTTTCATTATCAGTCGTGCTTACCAACCTCGGCAATGCACGCGGGCCGGCCTGTACTCCTCTAGATGTTTAGGCCTCGTGGCTAATCCGTATAGCGAAATATATATTGTCGGCGGAGCGACTTTCCACGAAACATGTGTCGACAAAAGGTTTTTCGATAAAACGTGTTTCGATCAAAAGTTGTCTACGAAACGTCGACGAAACGATCCATCATTAATTAGAGTATCAATGATCGCATGCACTTCCTCATTTCCCTGATAGTAAAGGTGCTCAGACGCTGAAAAGTTGAGTGCGTATATTAACTCGATTGGACACAATTTGTTGCGCTGACTAGGCTGCACGCGACTCCCGCGAATTGTGCTTTTGGTTATTGCTATTGTGCCAAGCTTTGATATCAGCTTGTTAAAAAAAACTTGAATAATCAACTTTTTCTCTCTTTTTTTTTACAGACGACGTCAAGGCTGTCACTGGTAGGTGGCGGAATCTCCGCGACACCTTCGGGAAGCGTCTGCGGGATAGCAAAAAAAAAGTGGCGCAGGTGCCGGCGAACCGCAGTCCTGCTGGCAGCATTTTAAAGATCTGCTATTTCTGCGGGACTTCGTGGAGCCACGCCCGTACGTATATTTTCTTACCCTTCCAGTGTGGCTGAAATAGATTAATTGCTTACTTCGAGAATTTCCCAACTTTTTGTATACATTTCTGCAAATATTTCAAGGTACACATAATAGTTTTTGTTGTCCACTAATTTCTAGGACAACCAGCAATATGGACAGCATCCACGAGGACTCCATTGATGAAGTCCTAAATGGGTACGAAGAGGAGTTGGAGGAAGCACCATCGGAGCTCCTCCTGACAATGGTCAACATGCCTGCATCCTCCCCCCTTCCCCCCTTGTCTACTTGCTCTCCCTCTACTTCACGCTATGCCACTACTGATTGCTCCCAAGCCTCCATCCCTAATTCACAGAACCTCCTGCCTTCCCCTAGATCTGTTTCTGCTGCCCTTTCCCAAGCCCATGCCCCCTCACCCAGCACACACCGACCAAAGCCACAGGGACAACACCGATGCACTCATTCAAGATATGGACAGACAATTGGCACACCAGACAACAGCCACAGAGCATTTTTTTTTATCACTTGTAGACACGATGGACGAAGTGCCCAAGCACCTGCAGGGGTACTGCAAAATTCATTTTATCGAAGTGTTCACGCAGTACCGAATGGGAAATATCCCAACCAGCCTTTCGACGGTGTGTGGGCCTCAGCACCAAGAGTAATATATACTTATTTAAAATGACAAACCATTAACATAACCCTTTGACATGACACAACTAGAAACATTATTCCTGCCAAACACCTCAGCAAGACACTGCCATAAAACACCGACAGATAATGCCCAATCTTCCTACTAGTCTTCCTGTAAATCCATTTACTATTTTGTGCCGTACTGATCACCAGAAAGAAAAAAAAAATGTGCAATAAAATCATGACTTGAAAAAACTTGAAAAAAGGGGCATTTGTCTTTTTGTAGCGGGCAAAATATTGGTTCGGAGCAGCCACTGATGCTTTTGGAGCAGATGCCAACATTTGTTAGCACATCACTTGAGAATGGAAAAGTGATTGCATCTCAATGAGTCAAGGCTTCCTCTTTAGTACTACTAGAGCATGTTACTTGATACCTTTCTCATAAAAATAGGTAGATCATAAAAGGAACAAAGCTCTCTTAGATAAGGCTCTAGTCAAAGTAGGTTTCACTTACAATGGGTATTAAAAAATGGTTAAAAAAGGAATCATAGCGCTACACTTCATTGGGATAACTCCTCTCTCCCCTCTTCATTTTGCACTCTGTAGTTTAGCCTGTAAATGTGATTTCTGTAAAATGTCAGCAAGAATTAGACCATCCACTAACATGTCTACCAATAAACATGTGTCCCGCAAGTTTAGTGAATCTACATTACTCAAAGCTCTTATATCATGAAGTGCAAAAACAACTACTCAAAAACATAAAAGCCTACACTTTCGCTTTAAAGGTGACGCTGCTCTTTAGCGGAGTAGGAACCAGAGTTACGTCAAAGTTCGCTGCTCTTTCAATCGACAGCTGCACGGGAACTACTGTGACTACCACATTTATTCAAATATATATATAGACCCTTGTTTTCTTCTCTCTTTCTCTGCTGTATATTTTTTTTAAATTAGAGATTAACTTTCAATTACGACAAAAAAGTTTGATCTGCAATAATCATGAGCATAATTTGCGCACCAATTGCGCTAAGCCAGGTGCTCCTCCAGGTCAGTCGCTGCTCCTAGCACTCCGGTGCAAATGGTGAAGCTCGACTCGCGCACGCTGGTGAGAGGTTAAGGTTGACTCGAGCAGCGCAAGTGCCACGGTACTCTACATCCACGGAACAAAGGCATGTGGCAGACATGATAGTCTAGTGGTCTTATCAGGACTACAAGACCCTGGTTCTGTTTTTATCATGGTAGCCACGATCGGCAATCCTACTATATTTTGCGAAAGTTTTCTCGGGACCCTCAGTTCCTGACATCGAGGACATCGTCTGGAGATTTAGACAATGTCAGCGATCAACCGGCCAGAGCGGCTTATTCACAGCATGAAAGCATGACATTGTGGCATTCATCATCTCCTTGTACGAGTTCTTTCATTGACTATACAAATCAAGTGCAGTGAATGTCCCGTGACCTGCGCTTTTAGTATGTGTGTTTTGAGCGTTTGACTGTGTTCTGATCCAAGACGAAACAAACTACTATAAGGTGAGTAGAAATGTCGTAAAAGGAGGGGCAGATCGAAGGGGGGGGGGGGGGGGCGACCAGGAGTGTCCTCCCCCCCCCCCCCCCCACCCCTCCTCAGAGGGCAATTTGACATGGGTGGACCCCCCAGTGCACACGAAAGAATGGGAGAACAGTATCCTCACAAATTCCCCCCCCCCTCCCCCTCACAAAACCGGAGTTCTGGATCCACCCCTGCATGAAATTCATATTTGTAGAATTTTTATTCCCTCTACTTCTCTGAATTCTAAAATCGACCGATTATTTTTTTGCTTTATGTCCATTTCAGTGCAAGATGTAGCAGACTTTCGTTAACAGTGCATTTTGGTGCAGCACTTCCATCACTGCTGTCTTTATTACAATGTTAAAGTGCAAGTAAGATAGCTCCCTAGAGCACTCTAACATAATGCCAAAGCTGAACTTGCACACCTAAAAAAAACACGCAAACAACTTTACAACCCATTCTTTTTCATTTCAAAATAAAAACCTTAAATGACATTACAAAGTTGCATTGAATGATGAAATTGAAAATAGTCTTACATTGAAAAAATAATACTAGCACCACGGATGTTGGAAGGGTTTTTGTGTTTAAATACAGCCTCTATATACAAAAAAAAAGACTGATGAAAGGCAGCACTCAACGCAATCCCTCTAGATTAGCGCTGCAGGACTGCCTGCTGCCATGAGACCTTGCCAGCAGAACTACTGAAGTAGTCCTTGTAGAGGTCCCTGACACCTCGAGCCACATGAGCAAAGTTCCTTGCAAGAGTCCGAGCAAGCTGGAGGGGCAACTGGCTGATGTCTTGGCGCCACTGTCCGCCTTGTCTTCCCCCAACCCCATTCATGGAATCCGCGTAGCCAGGACCACAGTAGGCATTTTCATTGCCTTTGTTCTGGGCCATCAGGAAATTGTGGAGCACACAAAGTGCCTTCACCAGCTCTTCGGCCTGTTGCGGCTGTTCCCCCAGCTTCCTCTCCAGGATCCTCCATCGCGTCACCAGGATACCGAAGGCATTTTCGGCGCATCTTCTTTTTGTTTTGAAAGTTGAGAGAAATGGAAAAAGGATCATGAGTTTGGTTTGAGAGGCAGACACACAGCTATAGTCTGTGCAACTCAAGAAGGTAGGGCGAAGGTAAGACGGGCTTGTGAGGAGGAAGCAGACGGAACGCTAAAGAGAGAAGGAGGTTTCCCCCTCTCTTCTTCAGCATTCCGTCTGCTTCCTCCTCCCCGGCTCGTCTTACCCTTGCCCTACCTTCTTGAGCTGCAACAGACTATAGATGACAACGAAATGTACATTTATACATGTACAAGTGTGTAGTTTTAGAAATTTCGTCTGCTGCAAGAGTAATCTAGCAACGAAACTTTTTATATATTTACCAAGTTCATGGGATGAATCGGAATTGACTAAAATGTTATGGGTGAGTGTCATATTCAGACTTAGTTATGGAATCATGTATAAAAGAAAATTTCATGAAGGCTCTAATATCCAATGAAACAAACAGGTCTGGATTATTTCTCAGAATGGTGGTCATATCAGAATTATATTCCACATATTCAAAGGCATTTAGCATGCTGTATAGTTCCTTAAAGAGAACTCTGCTGAAAGGTCTTATCAAACCAAATTCGGGATATCAGTTTAGTGCGACAAGATCCAGCCATAAACAAAATTTATGCTGGACCAACACTGCAGTCCCTACGAAAGCCGATGTTAAACATAACATTAACAATATTTTAGCGGGCCGTCAGCAAATCAGCCTTTTCAGGCCATAGCGGGAACTGCGACGTCAGTTTCATGTTCTTCCTGCACAAGGATGTTGGGCTTAGTGTCCTTACGCATCCCCGCTGCTGAATTCATGTTGGTGCCGGTGGATTCGTCTCAAGTGTCAACATACCACAACGCTGCTGTTCCGACAGGTGACGCAAACAGAGGTCACAATACTGACTAGTGTGCCAAGCACTGCGGAGGGGAGAGGGGAGAAATCCCGGGTGATGATAGAAGCGGTGCTTGCCACAGACAGAACGCCGAGAGAATGCTGACAATGTGAAAAGTCGCACAAGCCGCACTTCGTTTAGGAATGAGTGCTATCTATGAGTATCATTGCAAGGCACTTCCTCGGCGGATGAGGAGAGCACCGGCAGCTGGCAGGCTAATAAGTAGTCCAGCTTCTGTAGCAGAGGCGGTGGTAGCAGCAGCACGAAAGCGACGTCACCACCAATGTGACATGCTGGAGCAGGTAGTTTTGGTCTTTCCGTAAGCGCCAAAACAAAACTTGGACACCACATATTTACGAAACTAAAGAGACTACCGAAAAACAAATTACATCTCAGGATTCAGGTTCAACGACTTAGTTGAACCAAAAAGTGTAGAAAGTGAGCAAAGTTTCTCCTTAAATTAAAAGATAAAAATAAAATGCCACTACTTTGACGGGTATGCTGCAATGCTGTGCAACCAAAAAGAGTGCATACCTGCCAACCTGTGCACTTTCTAATTCGTAAAAGTTGTGCGGCTGCGGCGGGGGGGTTACGCGAAGCGATATGCAGCTTAATGTCAACCTGGCCGGCGTGTGAAACGCTTACATCACACGTGCACGTGCTACACAATTCAAACTTCTCTCGCTTTTTGGGCGGCACGAAGCACGGAAATTTCGACGTGTGGGACTTCAGGAACACCTGAAAGTACCTCTTTTGAGGTTTCGAATTCGGCATTGCGCTGCAAAGCCACAGTGACCAGGAGAATGCTACAGTTACACGTGCAACAAACACAGACGCCGTACTTCTCGCCTCGAAACTGGCCGAAACAACGAGGCCCAACAACGTCTGAACACGCCGAACAAACGTGCACCTGTGCACCGCCGAACACACAAACAAAGGCTTTGAGCTTTGGATTGGTTTTCGATCCGTGGCCACCGGATAGACGGATAGTAAAAACCACGACGCTGCTCTGGACCGTACCTATCGCCCTCTTGTGGCGGTGCAAGATACCGCCAACAGCAGAGTTACAAAAACAACAACAAAAAAAAAATAAAAAAAAAAAATATATTTTTCGTAAGATTTGAAGCAAGATTCGTAAAATCGTAAAATTAGTCCCAATTTGTACATTTCACGAAAAATTCGGAAGAGTTGGCAGGTATGAGAGTGCAACGATATGATTACTCGTGGTGCAATGAACCTAAAAAAAAGAGACTTTTGCATAAGCCTACGTTGAAACAAGGGCTATAATGTGAAATCACATCTTTGAAGCATACTTTAAAGTGTGAACTGGATATGGGCATATCCAAAAACACTCCAGTCCTTCGCTGCCCTGCCAGCTCAAGAGCGACAACAGCAGCGTTGCATTTAATTCTTTGCTAAGCATTCTCACCCTTATTATTACGGTAATCGTAATTCTGGTTCAGTGTCGTTTAAAATGGCATTCAACTTCCCTCATGCGAGTTCATGCATGTGAGAGCACCTTTCATAGAGATGACAAATTTAAAATTTTTGATATAATGGTAGAAACACTTTTAATCATTTTTTGAACTCGAATATGGTTCAAATCCTTAGATGGCTAGGAGCATTGCCAGGTAAAAAGAGAGCACATTTCTATTGGTTAATATATATGGTTCTGATTAGAGAAGACCTCTCTTAAAGACGTTTATTTATGAGGCATCAGACTAGTAGGTTTTTTTACCTTGCTCGGCTCAGGCGGTAGTTGAAGATCCGTTCGTCATCCTCGAGACCGCGCCCAGGGTAAGGCCTGAGGAAATCGGGCCTCAGCTGAAACGCTTCGTCCCCGACGAAGACGCATGGAGCAGGCAGCTTGGTCTTGGGTAGCAGCTGATCGCTTGGCAGCCCGAGGCGCCCCTGTTCCAGCAGCTTCCCGAAAACCGACTGTTTGAGGACTCCCCCATCGCTTTGCTTTCCATAAGCACCAACATCTACGACAACAAAGCTATAGCCGCTGTCGACGATGGCCATAAGGACGACGGAGTATGTCCCCTGTAACAAACACAAGCATCATATTAAAATAGCACTCACACCTGAGTGTATACACCAACTCATGTTTACAAACAAACCGGAGCGCCCCTAGCGGACGCCACCGGCGCCGCGCATGCGCGGTGGACGGTGGGCAAGAAGCTCGCCGTCGCCCATAAACAAACCATTAAATTGCGTTGTTGCCGGCGTCGGTGTGAGTCCCTGTGCACTTTTTCGCGTTCGAATTGTTGATTCTACATCCTCTTAACAATGTTTAAACACTTGAGCGGCTTCAGCAAAATTAACGAGGCTCGTTACACCGCGAAACTTTGCGTGAATAATGTGACGTGCGGCGATTCATTTCACGTGGACGCCGCAGAATGGGCGCTAAAGCCTGACTCCCACGATGAGATTTATCTCGCTATTTTCAGTCGCGAAGTCCCTCGGGCTGAAAAAGTGTGGACCAGCTGAGATGGTGGACGTCGATACTGAAAACCGCAAGTAGAATCGGGCATTACAAGTCGGTGACGGCCACTGCCACTGGTAACAATGATCAACATCTTGTATCTACTGTTTACACTTAGCCTACTTACCCCAACCAACCTTCAAAAGTGTTTTGAGGCCTGCACTTACTTCTTATCGCAATTACCGGGTCAACGTCTGGTTTACGGGCCGCTGTCGTTTGAAAGAGTTGACGACAAAAAGCAGACAAGTTTGAAAGAGCAGACGACAATTCAAACGGATGCGCAATAGAGTGCGGGCAAGAAGCACCGCGTCCTGCGTCAACAAACCATTGGAATGTCACGCTGTCGGCATCTGTGTGAGTCTGCATACTCTTTTTTTCCGGTTGGAAGTGTCGATTTTACGTCCTCATAGCAATGTCTTACCACTTTAATCGCCTGAGCGAAATTATCAAGGTTCATTACGCCGCTAAACATTGCGTAAATAATTTGACGTGAGGCGATTCATTCGCATGAACGCCGCAGAATGGACGCCAAAGCCATGATGAGATTCTTCTAGCTATTTTCGGTCGCAACGTCGTTCGTGCTGCAAAAGTGTAGAAGATAGCGGCGATGATCGACGTCGATACTGAAAATCGGAAGCGGGAACAGACCAAGCCTAACAAGTCGGTGATGGCCATTGGTACCTATGATCAATATCTTGTATCTACTGTTTACAGCGAGCCAACTTAAGTCTTTTGAGGCCTGCGATTACAGCTTATTGCAATCACCGGGTCGAAGTTTGGTCTACGGGCCGCTTTTGTTTGAACGAGCAGACGACAAAAAGCAGACGAGTTCGAAAGAGCAGACGATCAGGCGGCCGTGTGAATTTGAAGACGCACTGAACCCGCGGGTGGCCCGGACACCTTGGCGGTTTTGTCTCGTTCATGTTGGAACAAAACAAATACATCTGGCGACCACAAAGTGTTTCCCGCACAAGCAATCGTAGTTCGACAGCGTCTGCTTTGCCCTTGTCACGGCTACTATCCACGTTCTCGGACGAACGGAGGGGGCAGAAACACATGAAAACTGATCTTCTAACCTTTCCAGACACTCTTGGTACAGCCCCCGTCGCAGCATTTCGACAAGAAGGCAGGTTTTTTGTCTGGTTTATCCCTAAAGAACGCGGGAATGCATGTCTCGCACCGCGATTTCTGCCCACTACCCCAGACCGGAAGTGCGACCGACGCGCCACCACCGCGGCGTGACGTAGGAGAGTTGAGTTGGTGTATAGTCTCAAATATAAAATCTTGTAATGTGACCAATTGACTTTTTAACTTCAAAGTACTTCCCTAAGCCGAGCTTACATTGCCCCTAACTTTTTTGCACAATTCAAGTACAGTGTGCCGCAATATGAAAGTCTCACTCTGAGCGCGTGGCTGCGACACCGGCTAGCAAGGGCTCTGCTCGCGCTTTGGGTAATTTAATTTCTTTGCACAAATAGGTCACTCAGTGCTCAGCCAGGCTTAGAATGCATAGCACGAAATAAATAAATATGAAACTTATATTGAAGTTTGTTAAAACGATGACACAAATCTCGACATTGTTCAACAAAATGCTCAATTGCAAGTCTGCCTAAGGCTAGTGTAATAGAATTGTCCCTTCCTAAGGCCCATGCAGCTGCGGTACGATGTGAATGAGGCGTACGGCCTCGGCTAAACCGAAACTGGTAAGCAACCTTCAGCCCCAGATTAGCGTCGAACAAATGCCCTCCCCTGAGAGCGATACGGAAGTGCGTGAAACACATACGGTGCCCCCACCAGCCACCGTCCCCTTGCTCCAAGGTGACGGCTCATGCAGGTGACGTACCTTTGGTACGTCACCTGCATGAGCCTCCCTGACTAGTATCAAGATAGGCTTCATGTAATTACACAGCGATATGATTTGTTCGGTAAGATATTTACACTAATGAAGGTCAAACATGCATTAGACTAGAAAAAATATTCAAGATATTGTTTCACATGAAGGAGACTACAATACATGCTCTGCATGATAGGGAGGCTAAATTGTCTCGTGGGACATATTGAGATCTTTCCATCGCAGCGGCTGAAAGAAACGCTATTGTATTCAGTATCAAAACGTAGTATGAAACTTGACACACCTTGTAATTGAAGTACATACTCCCTGAGTTTGCGGGAGCATGTATCTGAATGTGCTTTCCGTCGACTGCACCCACCCAGTTCGGGAATTGCCAGTCTCGGTTGAACCCTTCCGCAACCCGCAACCAAGCAGCGGTGTCTGGTTTCTGAATGAGACATGCAAGAAACAAAGTGAGTAAACATTAATTTTAAGGCATAAATGATAATATATGACTCTTATTGGTTGACTCTGGATAGATGTGGGCGGCCAAATATGGGCCCTCCGGTGTTATCAGGGCTGTGACATTGGTAGAAGGTGGAAGCATGCAAGGGCTACACGAGCTCATAGTACGAGGGATCCCGCCATGACAACAAAGCTCAGGGGAGCACAACATATGAACCGCGGTGCCATGGAACCTTTTGCCCACCATCCCCCAAAATAGTTCAACTTCACTTTGCTATAAAGCTGGAACTAGACCAATGCAGAACAATGATGCTCTTGATTCAATGCACACCAGATGATATATGGCTTGTATGCAAACAAATGAGGAGCCACATCCAGAAACTGAAATTGTTTTAAATGCAAAGCATGTCTGGTGTGCATTGTTTCCAAAAAGCACTGAACTGAAATCGGCCAAACTATGTGAGAAACACCGCTGTTCTACAGGCAACTGGGATGCAGTGCTGAAAGCTATACTGATAAGCAAACATTTCTGTTTGATGCTTTCGATAGGTTTTCTTCATGCCCAAACACATGCTGAAAATGTCAAGTTTCACTTTGCAAATGGGATTACAGGAGTTTTATATTTTATAAGTTTGAGGGCTTATGTGCCAAACCAACGAAGGACATCTGGCGCACTCCAGTGGAAGACTGAGGAGTAATTCAGACCACCTGGGGATCTTTGACGTGCAACCCAAATCTGTGTTACAACGGCGATTTCCACAATTAGGCCTCCGTCATACTGCGGGCACCTCAGCCGGGATTCGATCCCACCAACGGAGGATCCATAGGCCAGCGCTTTACCTCGGAGCCACCGAGGCGGTATTAGAGGAGTTGGCATGTGTTGTTACGGGTGTGTTTTAGACACCTGTGACATAGGATGAGTTATCTGATTACTACAGAAAGTATGCACTGAAGACGGAGCCTCCGCTGCATTTTTCATCTGCTGCTCGCAGCTGTAGCGTTATTTCGTTACAGAAGGGCGGTGTATAGTACCCGTCCAGATTATGTATCTGAGATAAATTTGAATCCTAAAGCACATCGCTGTTTAGCACTGAACTTTTTTATATTCACCGAACTTTCTATATCTGCCTGTAAACGAGATTCATTAAAAAATGCAAGTAAAGAAATGGGCCGTGGACTCAACTGCGCATAACTGTAGCATCCATTACCAAGTGCGGCTGCAAGACTCTGGAAAAAGTTCGTTTCGGCCTGCATCATTTTTGTGGTGAGCAGCCCTGATTTCAACAGCCTCACCTCATGGACCTAGTGCCAAGCACAGTGCAGCGGTGCTTGGCACTGGGTCCACATGAAATGTGAAGTTATTTTCAGCATGGAATGAATTTCCTATACTGAGCAGGGTTGACCATATACCAATGAAAAAGCTGTGCCAGTTTTCAATGGTATAGTTTCAAAGCATCATCACTTAATGAAGGGTAATGAGCAGTGCGAGAAGTAGCAAAAGAATGAAAGAATGGCCAAAGGTAGGCTGGTAGACCCCAATCAGTATGGCACCTCACTGCCATTTCACTGCAAAACTACAGCACTTACCGCCAGGTACAACGGCTGGAGTTTGGTCCAAAGTGCCCTGCACGTGACCCGAACGGCTAACCTTGCTGTGGATATCCCGACACGGAAGGACAGGGCAATGCCCTGAATGAGGTCACCAGAGGACAAGTACCTGTGATGAGAGTGCACGCAAATTGTGAGGTTACAGCAAATGTGGTGGGAGTCCCATTGAGAGCTGTGATTACATACAGGACTACAATAAGCAGTCAAAGGAAAACTAAGTAATGTGCTATAGGCAGAGAGCTTTCAATCTGCTGGGTATTTAGGGATGCACACAAGCTGTTCAGTATGTCACCTGGCTGTGGGATAACAAACCAGTCTGCAAGTGGCAAACAAGCCGGTATTCACCCTTTTTTGTTTAGCAACTCACTGGCTCCATCTGTCGGATAGCAGTTTTACACTTCCGGTTGATGTTTTTTAATGCACATTTCCTTCACCAAATAGCGAGAAAATGTTCCCGTGTGACGTGAGAGGTGGTTCTTTTGCACGAAGACAACTTGATGACGTAGTCTGGCGATTGATGGAAAATAGACAATTTGCTTTGTACCGTAAGTGGTCTTGGGCTATTCCTACACGAGTGCCGCCCCCCCCCCCCTTCCCCCATTGACCCCCCTCCCAATTCTAATTCATACAAAA